TGTACGCGCAGTGGAGGCAGGCGTGGCACGCCGGGCGTTCCGCAGCTGTAGCCGGGCGGTGGACCCAGGCCAGGCCAGCTGCCTTCTTGCGCCGTTCTCACTACTTCTTCGCAATAGCCAGAGCCACCGTGGGAGGGCGGGAGGGGGTGACTCGGAGGAGGAGTCGGGCTGTGGCCTGTGGCTCTGCGCGGCCCCTCAGCAGCCGGCTGGTCGTCTTTCTGCGTGTCCGAGGTGCTCTTCTCATAGATAATGCCGCCTTTCCTTACATACCTGTAGCTGTTTTTACTTTCTGTTTTGAAGTCAGCTTGTGTCTTGACGTGTGCCTTGCAATATCCCTATCGTTATATATGCTGTGTGCCTTATGAAATGCTGGGATCTGGAAAATCCAACCAACCAACCCACCGGCTCCTCACCGTCTCCACCTCTGCCTTTGACTGACACCTCACTCTGTCAATCGGAACCGCCTACCATGCGATTGGTCGGATGGCGTTTCGGGGGGCGGTGCATGCAGAGAAGCCAACAGAGCAGTAAGCGCAGCAGCCGGAGTGTTGAAGATGACAAGGAGGGCCACCTGGTGTGCCGGATCGGCGATTGGCTCCAAGAGCGATGTACAGCCACCTCTCGTAAACTTTACCTCTACTTCCTCCCCCGTTAGACAAGACCTCTCCTGCCTGAGGGGCCTCTAGAGCGCGTGGCGCCTTAGCGGGGCCACCAGTAATTGCCTGAATGGCGCAGACGCTATTATCTTCTGTTTTAAGAGTGTAGCAGTGAGAGAGAAACCTTTATTGTCTTTGAGAATTTGAATGCTGTGACCTTGCAGGAGCTGCCGACCCCCGGCCGTCCACGTCCTCACGCCCGGCGTCTTTTCTCTCCTAGATGAGATCGTGGGGAACCTGGGCGAAGGCACCTTTGGCAAGGTGGTGGAGTGCCTGGACCATGCCAGGTAGGCCAGCGGGCAGGGCGGCTCTGCAGGGTCCCCTGCGGGTGTGTCTGCCAGCACTTAGCCACACGTGTCCTCTTGGAGGGGAGCCCCAGGGTAGGGTCCGATCTGTGCATACCGGGCTTGCTGACCTCCTGAAGGAACAGACTCGGGCTCTGTAGGCGCTGCATCGCTGCTCAAGGCTGCCACGGTCTCCCCGCTTCCCAGGGCCACGGTAGTGGAGGTCCGAGCAGGGCCAAGGCCTGGATCCTCTGCACCCAGAGCTGCTCCTGTCATCTCTTCTAGATGCCTGGTCTGGTGGGAGTGGGGGTGTCACTAAGCCCGCAGCCATCCTGAGCCCCCACGCCCTGGAAGTTCTGCCCAGGCTGGGAAGCAAGCCCCCTGGCTTTCCCACCACGCAGGCCACCACCTCCTCCAGTGGGGTTCCCGAGCATGCTCAGGGAGCGGGCTCCCCTGTATGTGCAGCCTCTGGGGCATTCCCCTCCTTCCCATCCCACAAGACTGGAAGTCTCGAGTCCTACCCCAAGTCCTGCCCTGTAGCTCCAGGTTGGGAAGCCACCTCCTGGGAGCTGCTCGCCTCCCTGCCCTAACAGCCCCGTGGTTGGCTCCCTAGCTGTGATGTGCTGCTGTCCTCGTCCAACCATACACCGCCCTTGCATGGCCCTCCCGTGGGTTTAGATGGGGACATGTGCTCAGTATCCTCCCGCGGGCTACCCATCCTGTGGTGCTCACACAGTGAGGGGACAGCCAGCCGGACCAGGGTCCAGCCACTGGCACAAGGGGAGGCAGCGACGGGGCTGTGCAGCAGCTGCCCTCTGCACGGCTCCATGGCAACACTCCTTGCACCTGTGTGGCCCAAGTGGCTAAGGCCCAGCCAGTGGCTGTAGGGGTGTGACCAGATGGTAGTTGTGGCAAATCCAAGGCTGTGGGGCCACATGACAGCATGGCACTCAGATGAGCTTCAGGGGAAAGGAACGTCTGCGGTCACTTGGGCAGACCCAGGACGTGGTGAGGGTGTGGGGGGGAGGCACAGAGGCCATGGTAGCCTGGCCACAGAGAGGGCCTTCCTAGCAGGGGGGCTGCCCTGCCAGGTACAAGTGACCCTGTATTGGGCTGGATTGCCAAGGCGGGCCCTTTCTACAGAGAACGTGAGAGGCCCAGGTGGAGACAGAGATGCCGGGGAATGCCAGGAGGTGCTTTTGCCCCGGGGCTGGGGAGCCTTTGTTCAGCACCAAAGCCTGCCTGCCTCAAGCCCCAAAGGACACGCCCTTGCAGGCAGGGCTGTCCCACTCAGATTCCCACTGGACACATGACCTGCAGCCATCCCTTCCTGCCGTGTTTCCATCCCCAGAGCTGGGATGTGCAGAGCAGAGACCGTTAAAAGTCCCCTGGGGCAGCCATTAGACACAGGGCTCCTGGCACTCTGTGGTCACTGTGAATGTTGTGGCCAGCAGATAAGGGGGAGCCTGGGGCCTCATAGCGAGGACCCTGCAGTTGGTACCATGACCTATTGCCAGGCCCTCACTCCACTCTGGCACCGTCAGGGTCAATGTCCGCTGACCCACCTGTGTACTCAGGGAGTCGAGCTGTGGGAGGGTTCGGGTGCAGAAGTCCAGCCTGTCCAGCTGGGCCAAGCAGCCTACAGCTTAGGTTGCTGAGCAAGCCCTCCAGCTGGTAGTCCCCAGGACCACGGCTCTGCCCACTCTCCCTTGGGGCTGGCCACAGCCAAGAACATAAAAGCCCGGGGCTGGCACGGAGGCCGGCAGTTCCGAGGTGCTGGGAGGTCACAGGTGTAGGACAGAGGGCTCTTCCACATGGCACAGGCCATGCAGGGTCAGTGCGTCAGCCGCTGGGTTGGGTTGGGTGCTGGGGAAGAGCTGGCAGGAGCTCACGAGAACCCCTGCTTCCCTCCTGGCCCAGAGGGAAGTCACAGGTTGCCCTGAAGATTATCCGCAACGTGGGCAAGTACCGGGAGGCGGCTCGGCTAGAAATCAACGTCCTCAAGAAAATCAAGGAGAAGGACAAAGAGAACAAGTTGTGAGTGCCGGCACCGAGCAGGGGCAGTGCCCGGGCCTCGCAGGCCCCACGTGCTGGCATGGTTCGGCACCGTGCCTCCCCACACTCAGGCAGGCCCAGAGCTTGCACATAAGTCCAGACCCCACCAGCCCCACGCTGCGGACAGGGTCAGGCTCATGGGCCGTGTGGGCAGAAGACAGGCGGCGGCAGGAAGCCGTCTGGGCTGGCACAGTGGGGCATGCAGGGGACAGCCTTTCCTCACAGACGGCCGCTGAGCACACCCTCCCGAGCTGCCGTGAAGGCTGTGCTGGTGCTGAGTACCTGGCCCACAGCCCTGGGCAGGCCCCTCAGCGGCCAAGAAAGCACGCTCTTGCTAGAACTCTGTCCCCGAGTGGGCCCAAGACAAGGCGGGAGGCAGCCCCGCAGAACCTGAGCCCGAGCTCACCCTGCCTCCCCTAGCCTGTGCGTCCTGATGTCTGACTGGTTCAACTTCCACGGGCACATGTGCATCGCCTTCGAGCTCTTGGGCAAGAACACCTTTGAGTTCCTGAAGGAGAACAACTTCCAGCCTTACCCGCTCCCGCACGTCCGGCACATGGCCTACCAGCTCTGCCACGCCCTGAGATGTGAGTGTCCCCCTCCCTGCTCACTCGCGCATGTGGGTGGCCATTCTGCCGGGCCTGAGGTGCCAGGTCCACCTTGCCCCCATGCTCAGCTCGTGCTGCTATGGAACGGGCACAGCTGCCACTGCTGATCCGCTGCAGAGCGTGGTGGTGGTGCCAGTGCCTGGCCCTGTGGGATCCGAGCCAGCTGGCCAGGCTGGGACTTGCTCTGGTGGAGCGAGGGGCTCACCCTAGTGCTCGAGTGCCAGGTGGGAGCCTGCTGGGAGGTAACAGGCGGGAAGCCATCGGCAGCCCGAGCAGGGATGCTGTTCCCTGGTGGCCAGCTCTGGCCCTCACCCGGCAGTGGAGCGGCCAAGGTCTGTGCCGCCCTCCTGTGGCACTGCTGGCTCCTGTACGGTCAGAGCCGAAGCCCCACTGCTGCCGCCTTGGCTGTGAGCAGCGGGCTCTCCAAACGACGTAACGTGGACATGCTGAGGGAAGGGCCGCCTAAGGCTGTCCTGGCCCCTTTGTGGACAGACCGGCAAGGGGCCTGGCCCCTGCCGAGGAAGGGAGGGCGGGCTGGGTGGAAAAGGTCCTCAGGGCCTGCCCTCCAACATGGAGGCCTCGGGAGCAGAGATCTCCTAAGGAGGCCAGGGAGGTAGAGCCAGCCACCTGCCGAGGTCAGGGCGCTACTAGCAGTGGCAGAGCCACAGAGGAGGCCACTGAGTGTCCACTCCCCTCCCTGACCGCTAGTCCTACACGAGAACCAGCTGACACACACAGACTTGAAGCCAGAGAACATCCTGTTCGTGAACTCGGAGTTCGAAACCCTCTACAACGAGCACAAGGTATCGGCGGGTGAGGGCCAGGCCCCGCCTGGGGGTGGGTAACTGCTGGCTTGGACCGCCGACCGCTGCCCGCCCGGCTTGCAGAGCTGCGAGGAGAAGTCGGTGAAGAACACCAGCATCCGAGTGGCTGACTTCGGCAGTGCCACCTTTGACCACGAGCACCACACCACCATCGTGGCCACCCGCCACTATCGGCCACCAGAGGTTATTCTAGGTGGGTGCCTGGGCAGCAGTTTGGGAGGCTGGGGCGGCCAGAGGCAAGGGCGTACCTTGTTGTCAGACCTCACCATCCCCAGTAAGCAGCACGTCCCAGACCAAGCGGCCGTCATCCTGGGACCCAGGGGTTGGGCAAGTCCTTGCAGCCCCATGGGAGCTGCTCGGACCAGACCTCCACTGCATCCTGACGCGCCCCTCCACCCATTCCAGAGCTGGGTTGGGCGCAGCCCTGCGACGTCTGGAGCATTGGCTGCATCCTCTTCGAGTACTACCGCGGCTTCACGCTCTTCAAGGTAGAGCCGGCTCCCCACCAGCACCAGCACTGCCACTCCCACAGGTCACGCCTGGCAGGCCCCGTGTGGCCTAGACACGGGTGTCTGCCTGGCGACACGCTGTGAGACCTGGGCACCCGGCTGCAGAGGCCAGAGTTCTCAGGGTAGAGGGTGGCGAGGGCCGGGCAAGAGCCTGGGGATGGCTGGACGGGACACACTCCTGATGTGACGAGCCACCGAGGGGCCCGCAGCTGGCAGGCCCCAGGCAGCGTGCGTCTCCTGGTGTAGAGGGGACCTCCATCTTTCTCGCCAAAGGGGCTGCGGCGGGCACTGACCCCATCCGCCCTGCCTGGCCTTGCAGACCCATGAAAACCGGGAGCACTTGGTGATGATGGAGAAGATCCTGGGGCCCATCCCGCCACACATGATCCACCGGACCAGGTATGCTCCCGTGGGCCCGTCCCCACCTGGCTGGGGTTCCAGAGGCTCTGGACCTCCCTGCCTTGAATGGGGTCCTGCCAGGAGGTGCTATTCCCATCCTCCCTGGGGGTGTCTCCTCGCTCCTGTCACCCCACCCCATGACCTCCCCTGCTGCCCTGGTTATAGGAAGCAGAAGTACTTCTACAAAGGGGGCCTGGTCTGGGACGAAAACAGCTCGGACGGCCGGTATGTGAAGGAGAACTGCAAGCCGCTGAAGGTCAGTGTCCGCGGCCCCAGCCCGGCTCCTGCCCGGGAGGATGGGCAGGCGGGGGCAGTCATGGCACAGGCAGCCCCTTGCCCAGCTCCGTGGGACGTACCCCACAGAGCTCAGCCCTGCCTGGCCCCGGGGTGGGGACTTACGTAGAAACAGACGAGAGTGCCCGAAGAACCAGGCAGGACTGGGCGGGGGCACTGCCCTGGGACCCGGCAGAGCCATGTGGACCCACCTGTCAGGACTGCGGAGGGCTGAGGTGCCACAGCAGCAGGACGGCCAGGAGGGGGCCACCCATCCAGGTGGCCCACGTCACCCAAGGTGCCCGTGTCCCCGCGCAGAGCTACATGCTGCAGGACTCCCTGGAGCACGTGCAGCTGTTCGACCTGATGAGGAGGATGCTGGAGTTCGACCCCGCGCAGCGCATCACACTGGCTGAGGCCCTGCTACACCCTTTCTTCGCCGGCCTGACCCCTGAGGAGCGGTCCTTCCACAACAGCCGCAACCCTAGCAGATGACAGGCACAGCCAGCACCGAGGCCCGGGAGTGGGACTGGACCACCCGGCCTCGCCGCCAGCCTCCGCCCGCGCCCTGGCCGAGCCACCCCACGAACAGTGCAATGTGAAGGAGGGCAGGGCCTGCGGGGGGAGGGCGTGCCCAGCTGCCAGAAAGCACAGACCCGACCCGAGCTATTTATATGTTGTAAAGTTATAATAAAGTGTTTCTTACTGTTTGTAACCCCTGGCGGCGCCCCGCCATCTGCAGGCACCCCTCCTCGCCCTGCCATGCCTGTGAAGCCCTGAATAGCTTGGCTTGTAGGGGTCTGGCACTGCCATCTGTGCCCACCTTGGACTCCCAAAGGTGTGGGATGGCCAGGGCAGGCCCCAGGCGGACACCACCCTCCCCCACAGCGCAGTTCACACGGCACAGGGCTCTGTCCGTCGGCTTTATTTCCGTGGTTTGGGCTCCCCGAGAGGTGTATGAGTGCCCAGCTTCCCAACCAGGCCCTCGGGGGTAGGCACTGTGGGCAGGGTGCCTCGGGAAAACCTCGCTGATCTGTAACGTCAGTTCCGGGGAGGCCCAGGCTGAGGGAGGGTGGCCAGGCCGGCAAGGGAGAGGAGAGCCTGGCATAGACTCCCCCATAGTGCCCAGTGAGGAGCCCAGCTGCACTCATGGCAGCCCTCGCTCCGTCCCCGACTGCCCCAAGGGCCTAGCTGAGGCGCTGCCTAGCCAAGGACAGCACACGAGGGCAGTGTGAGACTGTCCTGAGGGGCCGCCCTCCGCCCTGCCAGGAAGCGGTAAGCACCCTGGAGACCGTGCAGGGCCTACCCTGTGCCCATCTGGGCATGCCCCACCCCCATGGCAGGGGACCCAGGAGACCTGCAGCCTGACAGGCGAAAGCACAGTCAAAATTTTTAAGTATCCCTGCAGGGGCTCTGCCACCCTCCCTGGCTGGCCAGGTCACAGGTTCAGGGCTCTGGCCTGCATAGCAGTGTGCCCACGCTGGCCCCACCAGCCGGCTCTCCCAGAAGTAGCCTCCACCGGGCACAGCCAAATGG